TATTTTCTTATGTTTGCACCAATCTACGAAATTAGAGTTTAAGGACAAAAGCTTAAATCACCGTTTATATTTAAGGTAAATGTTTGTTATTGTTGTAATTGTCTGTAGCAATTTGTCTTTTGTTTACATATGTTTTTGAAATATAAGGCTTTTTTGAGTTTCCGTAGCATAATAATTTATTATTTTAAACATTAAATTCGATAATATCGATATTTTAGTTGTTTGTCCCACTATTGTAAAATTGTATAAAGTAATTTACGCCGTTTTGTAGAGACATTTTTGCAATTAAATTGTACCTTTGAACGTCGATACCGACCAATTTGTCGTCTTTCTAGTCTTGTCTGAATGCTTATTTGCAAGAATTTCTTGCAATTCTTGCTCACTAAGGTCCGGATAACGGTTCGTTTCTTCAAAGTGTTCGGCATTGAGATTGAAATTTGGGAAATTAAGGTTATTTTCATTATTTTCCGCCATTTTTATTGCGCGAAAAAAAAACAAGCAAAATGTTTTTCACTTGTGATGGCGTGAGCGTGCTCCATCCATTTTTTGTTCATAGATAAAGGACCAATGAGATTGCTTGTTATATAGTATCTATGTTATAACATATCTTTGAACGCTAATAACTCAACGAATAAACAGCAAAAAAGTTTAAACATTCAGAGCGAACTTCTATCATGCTCTTCAAGATATTTCATTACCACAATGTTGTGTGCCTGTGATTTTAGAATTTTGTTTCGACTGATGACGTCACGTGATAGTCGAGAATATCCTTAAAAGCCTTTGTAGGAGGGAATTAAATGGATGACAAAAACCTCTTAATTACAACTAATGAAACTGTTACTTTGATGATCACAATTATATGCATATGAAAATGGAATTTTGTTGTTGTTGTTGTTGTTGTTGTTGTTGTTGTTGTTGTTGTTGTTGTTGTTGTTGTTGTTGTTGTTCTTAAGTTTCTCTTCATCTGCCATTCAACGACTTCCTCACGTAACAAGCAACACAACCTAATGCTAAAAGCTTGCAATCGTGACAAAAATCGCAATTAGCACAAAAGAAAGAAATTATGAATGATAATATTAAGGCATATTAGTTAGTGATCAGTTTCACTGATTTTCTCACTTTCAAAAGAAAATATAGATTCTGACCTGGTCCACATTCTAATTTGCGTCTTCAGATGGCGATATTACTCTGTTCCAGTCAACTGTGATGGATGAGTTACTAGATAATTTCGTGCGTTTTTAGTGGCTATTGTCGTTGCTAGGAGTACATTGGGTTGGTAGCTGCTATGTTGCAAAAAAATCATAGCAAGAACTTGTCTACTGTATTCATTGAATAAATACTGTACTACTGTATTCATTGAATAAACCTGATTAAAATTTTCTTTTTTTCTTCATTGTCTTGTTATAAACTTTTACATTTTGTAATCTAAATTAGTATTTATAGCGGGCATYRCCCTGAATAGTSTTAACTAATTGYGATGCCCGCTAACTACTCATGTGTAAATTATTATTATTTATTGAATTAAACTTGAAACTTGAAACTTGAAACTTGAATATTTAAAGTATTTTTTCAGATATTTACAAGGCTTGTTTTGTTTACGACTATTCGCCCCTTAACCTCATTAAAATGCAACAGGCATATTGATATAAGTCTACTACTTATGAATATTCTACTATAATTTAATAATGATCATTCGAGCATCGCTTTAAACACTTCAAACAGAAGTGATATGGCGTACTTCAAGGCGAAACATCTGGTAGAACTGTTGCTCTTCTGAGGTGCTAAAACTTGCTATAGAACACTGTAACACACTAAAAACAAAATAACTTTTATTGTTTTTCCTGTTCATATACTTGTTATTATTTGATTACAAATTGGCCGAGAAGTTTCGATAAGATGCAGTCAAGCAAGCAGAGAAATACAAAAAATTCCAACCACGAGAAATCATTAGAGGATCTTGATAGAGAAGTTTTCAATGGAGCAAAAGAACAGACAGAAACAGAACAACTTATATCCTATTTGGACGACGAGAAAGATCGCCGTAGTTCGGAGTCACTTCCAAGTAATATCCGCATAAGATGGAGCCGTGCAGCTTTCTGGCTGTCCATCGTTTCCTCTTTCATCACATTAAGCTTTAGCCTGGCGTCGTTTCTGGTGTCTAATGATACTGCAAGTTCGTCCATCTTTGCTAACGCGTTTGATGCCCTTCTTGGTACGGTAAGCTCCTTCGCTGTGGCTTGGAGATTCAGAGATGAACTCAACGGAGAAGAAATCAGCAGTAGTCGAGAGCGAATTGCTACCTTTGGGATTGGTATCAGTTTCATTGCGACAGGTATTGCAACAGTTGCTGCCAGCATTGTACATTTAACAGAGACTGACCATCCACGGAAGACCCAGGAAATGGTGATCATATTGTGGTGTAGTTTGGCTGCATTTCTTCTACTTTCTTACATTCAAAGGTGTCTAGCTGGTAAGCTAGACAGCCAGTCTATGTGGGCAGCTAGTGCAGACAGTGCTTTAGCAGCAGCCATGTCTCTAGGGATTGTAATCTCGACCTATGTGTACCGTAGCTGGCCGAAGGACATGTGGTGGCTCGACCACGCAGTTGCTTGCATTCTTGGATGTATATCAGCAGTTTACGGAACATATCTCGTTTCACTTGTTGCTTTATGCAATCGAGAAGTCTTCGGGTCTGACAAGCAGTCAAGTGAGGAGAAAATGTCTTTAAAGTGATTATCAGAATGCTATAAAGAGTATAATTAAATGTAAAATAGAGGTTTTAAATGCCACTTTGAACATGACTCAAATCCAAGTATGAATATTATGATTTTTGTAAAGCAATTAGAAGTGAAAAGAACTTGACTTAAATTAAATCGTGGCTTAACTATTGCAGAATTATTAAGCGAAATATATGCAAGTTTCTTGTTCCATTTCTATCAAATTATACTGTTAAAATGCAACCTACGCAACATGCTTTTATGATCTATCCAGAGCTTGGTTACAGAACTACGCAGTAATAACATTCAAAGTTTATCTTGAGTAAACATCTACTTGAATCTCTTTAAATGTTTACAAATAGAGCCTCTTCTGCACAAGAAATATTTTCTTTGTAAATTTTGAAGGAAAAATTGTTTGTGTTGATCGATCTTTCATTCTGATTGGCTACGCTACTCGTGATCTATTTCAATCTCGTTCCAGAGCCCGCGTTCCTCTTRGCCTGAGGGCGCGAGCAACCACGAACTCTGGCCTAATCCATATTTTGCGCGCTTTTCATTGGTCGATAGAATTTCCTCATTACAAATGCGGACGTCTCCGGAAGTAAAATTTGACCAATCATAGTTTCGAAAAACAGCGCCAAAATTCGGGCGCGAGCGCGACGAGGAGTCCTAGCCCCAATCAAGATGTTACAAAATTGTAAACAAAAATTAATTGTAAAGTGTAGCAACAGAGTGTAGCAATGTCTTCTCCGAAGAAAGCGCCGACGCAGCAAGTTTATAATAATTGTAGRCTTTGCAATAAACTTTTAGATCGCTACAAAGTAGATTTGTTTGGAAACTAGTCGAAGAGAGAGGGCGTTTTAACGTCTTTGCAAGATATATGCTCAGTAGATAACATACATGAAGACGACGGTTTCTCTGGATATTTATGTAAACTGTACGCCCGTTAGTATTAGCGAAAAAATTCAAAATTTCAAATGTCTTTACCGGAAAACACAACAACACTTTCTAAAATTTCAAATTGTTTGGTTTTCAAAGGTAAATTTGGCATTCCTATAGCCGCTAGACCGTGGTCTAGCGAACTATAAAACAAATTTTTCGCCATTTTTCTTTTTGACACGAATGCGCAATTTAACCGGAACACCAGAAAATCTGATGAAAAATATGGATTAGGCCAGATTTCGTGGTTGCTCGCGCCCTCAGGCCAAGAGGAACGCGGGCTCTGGAACGAGATTGGATCTATTTTCAATAGTTTTCGTATTTCGACCACTGAAAAGGGCCATCTTTGATTTTCTTTTAGAAATATTGTGACCCATCCATGCAAGGATTATTTTACGTTTTTTTTTTTCATTCGAAAACAGCTCTTCAATTAAATAAAGCCGTAAGTGGGAATTTTTATCTAAAAAAAAAAACATTTCTGTCACTTAGATAATAATTAAAGGGAAGAATAAACTATACTTATAATGTTAAGGGTAATCGTAAAAAGCTTATTTGGCAATCATTCTAAAAACGCATGCTTGGCTTTACGGACTTAGAGATAAAGATTAATTTCATTCATTTTAAATCGTTTAATATACTTTGCTTGATGAAATTATAGCATTTTTTCGTATTAATGACGTCACGCGATGACGTCATACAATGACGTCATAGAATGTGTTATTTTTGTTTGGGAAGGCTTGATACTCAAACGAAAGCTATTTTACTTTTGTTTGTCATTTTAGAGAACTGCTGAATTTCCCTAGCAACGGATATGTCAGTACACCCTTAAAGTGTTATCGTACACAATCGTACGTTGGATGCATTGTTTGCATGAATACTAAGTTTTGCTAATTAAAAAAACTTACGTAGAAGAAGCAAAACTTAGTATTTAAACTTATAATGTTCGACCTTGAATTTGACAGAACAGCTTGATGATCGATAAAAATTGTAGGTAAAATTAATTTTTTAGGACTTCAAGAAATAATCAAATTTAGTTTTCTTTGCTTGTTTTTTTTATATTAAAAATGTCAATGTTAATTTTCACAATGAAAATACAATCACAAAATCAACGATTCTTTATACTTATACTTCTTTATGTTTTATACTTCTTAGTATATAATAGGGTCTCAAGATATAAAACATGAAGGATTTTATAGATACTAGGGTTTTGTTTCTTCTACGTGTGTTTTAATTTTCCGAGCTTTCGGACAACTTGTCCATCATCAGGGCAAAATGAAATTACATGTAATTTCATTTTTCCCTGATGATGGACAAGTTGTCCGAAAGCTCGGAAAATTAAAACACACGTAGAAGAAACAAAACCCTAGTATTTATAATGAATCCTACGTACGAAAACATTTTAACATAAAGGATTTTAATTTTTCATTATGTTCCACCCTTTCCAGTCGTTGTTAGTGGACATTCGCTCTTGAATTCTCGCTAATGACCCCCCTAAACAGGGCTAAGCTATTAGACCACCACCAGCCACAGCTAGCCAGCATTAATTAAGTTGAATATTTCATAATTCCTTGAACTCTTACTTTTTATGTTTTATATACTTTCTACCTGTTAATCTATGTTTATTTTTGTATATTTTTATGTTGTCGGCGATGGATGTCAATTTCATGGGACTTGACCGTTTCTCCATCTCATGTCCCTGAGAATGAGTTGATGCATGTATTTTATTCTACTCCTATGTGATACATTAATTAATTCTCGTTAAAATTATTCTAAATTTGCTATTGTTTTTCAAGAACCCACAGACTGTCGAACGCACGTGCTTATTTGTCCATAAGACCCCACGTGCGTATTTGCGTCGAAGACATAACGTACGTGTTTTTGTACAAGTCGCTACGCCCCTGGAAACGTTATATTGAAAGAGAGTTTTCCTAAATTTTGTTTTAGACATATCTTTAAAAAAATAACAAAAATAAGTTATCAATCTGAAAAGAGAGCTTTGACACTTGGACAAGTTGATAATTACGACGAATCACGAAACGCGGACACGGCTACATACCTCGGTCACGAAACCTTCCCCCTTGGAATACATTACACTTACTACACGATACGGTCTCTGTCACGAACGTTCTTAAGATTGGAACTTTATATGAAGTAATTCTTATATTTTCATAGCCTCTTCCCATTGAAAGCTTATATACTACTCTAACTTTGTTCTTCATCTGATTTTATAAAATTTTTGATATATAACGCGCGCTCTGATTGGCTGAAGACCGTGTTTATATCAGAGGACAGAAACACGGCTTACCGGCAAAATTTTCTTTTCGCTCGAAAAATTTTATAAAAGAAATATAAAACGGACGTTTGTGTCTCTGTCCTCTGATATAAACACGGTGGGAATTGAAAAACACTCGAGAAGCAAGAAATATAAAACGACGCGCGTGTCTCTGTCCTCTGATATAAATACGGTGGGAGTTCGAAGAACACGAGAGAAGCAAGCTTAGGAACACGAGCGTAGCGAGTGTTTCTCTTGCTTCTCGAGTGTTTTTCAACTCCCACCGTGTTTATATAGCCCTAGAAATTTGAATCTTCTCTGATTTGAGGCTTAGGGCCTGATTATATGAAGCGGGCTGGCTCGGTTTGCCGAGATCATTATTTATTCATCCCATCTCGCAATTATATGAGACAGGATTAGCCGGGCTACCCCAGCTAAATCAATTAAGTTTTGCCGCGAACGATTGGCGCGTTTAAATCTCCACAAAATAGAGATAATAATTTGACCAGGATAAGGAAATTTGTTCGCATATTGTWAACACAATTTTGTATGCTCTTTTCACTGCTTTTCTAGTATCATGGAATACTGCAACTTTATATGATTCAAATAACGCGGTTAATCAATGACGTAATAGCTTCTGTAGCAGCATCGCATTAACAAAATGCTAATAAAGGCAAAATTACGACGAGTGACATCCTTGCACTCATGTGTTGTACGCAAAACAGCTGACACACTTCTGAACAGCGGGCGCACTTAAGCGGGTCAGCCCGCTTGACTTCCGATTATATGGGAAATTTTCAGCCCGGTCTGCCGGGATCCCGGTTGTGGATTACCGAGATCTCGGCAAACCGGGCTGGTTCGCTTTTCATCTAATCACACAGCCGGAATCTTTTGTATTTGAAGACAAACCGAGATCTCGGCAAACCGGGCCAGCCCGCCTCATATAATCAGGCCCTAAGCCTGAGCAAGACGTTGAACCTTCTGGTAATAAAGGCTTAGCACTATTGTAATGATAACATTTTTTCGTGCTTTGTTTTGATTTTGGTCAGTTCTCTGCGCACGAGAGACTGCTGTCAACTTAATCAGCGGTTGTTCCCTTTGAACGGGAAAAGCCGTGTTGTATGTCATTCGTGCGGGATCCCTGTGCATTCTAGTTTCGGGCTTCCTTTAGCGAATCCATGTCATATATCGAAACAAACAAAATGGCCGATTCAGGAGTATTTTCGCTATATTTTCTGCAGACGACTTCAAGCTTTAAAAGACGGTTTGAAACGAGTCCAAACGTACTTCCAAATAAAATAAGATTACCAAATATGGCTGTCAAACTAAGGACAACTTTTCTGAGGCAATTCTTTGATATTTAGAGTACAAAAACTAAGTAAACCAAATAAAGTATTGCAAAATAGGATTGTTAGGCTGTATATTTCATTGATACAGTGTACCCAAAATCTTACAAACAGCAGAACAGATATAGATTTAATTTTGTGCTAGGTGCATGTGATCTCAGCCTGAAAAGGTTTGTATATAAAAAAGAAATTACAGTTCACCAGCATGTAGGGAATCGAAGGGAATTCCGATGTGAAGGAGGGGATCGAGGGGGTTAGGATAAATGCTCAGATTGTATCCGATATCTTACATATAAATTTGAATAATTGTTTGAAAGAAAATGTTTTTTTTTTCCATTTTTGTTGTTACTCCAGTCCTGTAAGGACGGAGTATCAACTATGTTATCGCCCGAAAAACAAGAGTGTCTGTAACACTGGTGATGTCACAATAGCATGACGTCAATCTACATTAATATTCAATATTGAGATGAAGATAAAATGGCGGACAGACGGCGGCAAACAGCTGTCTCGTTTTAAAGAAATGACTCTACAATGTAGATAAACGCTCAAAAGAGCTGGAAATTATGCACAAAACAACTGATTATTATCCGTCGGACATGAAAGGAGGTATATAACTCAAGATTATTGGTTGATTTATGCACAAATGATGCATTTTCTACCTGCCAAACAATTACAGTCTTCAAAAATATTTAATCACATGGATATGTAAGGCTCATACTTTTTCAGAAGAATAATTATTCGGACAATGAGGAAATATGTGAATAGATAAGTGGATGATATACAAGGTTTTCAAACATTATTTATACCAAATTTAGAAGTGTATACATGTTGAACTTCACTACTTTTAAGTGATGTTTCTTTGCATGAAGATTTTTTTAGGGTTTGAATTTCTATGAGAACCTTTCTATAAGAACCTGCTTCAAATTTTAGGCTAAATAGGTTTTATGTAAATGGATCTATTTTGATATTTTTAGGCTAACAGGTTCTTAAATTGCAGGTTCTTATAAGTGGGTAAGTACTGTACTGCATTTAATTAAAGAAAAAATATTTTGTAATTATTATATTAAGGCACCTCTAACACTCTTTTAAGTGTTAAAACACTCTTATTAAGCCATTGCGTTCAAGTTTCCATAAAAAAGGGTTGTTCTTCATATTTAATTTGTACATTATGATACAAGTGCAATAACACTTTTTCAACAATGTGTATTTTTTGCTCTATACTGGACGGGCTTATTATCAATGATAATTCAGTAATTATGTAAAATATCGCTTTTGGGAGTAACAACATGCGCTCTTTGAGCGCCTTTAATTTTACACGTTCACATATTATAAGCATCCTCATACCTAGACCTTCTCAGTTTGCTAGCGGAAAATCGAAGACTCTAGTTGGAGACGAATGAGTTGACTTTGATTGGTCCAAAAGTTCCCATGCGCCATCATCATGTATGTGGGTCTTCCGCGGTATCGTTTTGAACCAGAACTTTCAATTTCCGTTTGGAAACATAACATTTACTATTCGATAGCATTCTCGCCGTACAGTCTAGAAATTTCTCTCATAGTTTCTGGGTGATTGATTTGCGACCAGGCCTGCATATGAATTCGCCAAGGTTGTAAGCCAGTGAGCCCGTGCATTTTTGTTAAGCGGTCATATTTGAAAATGTAAATAAAGGAAAGGGAAAACCCGCAGCTCTCCTTTCACTCAGACAAACAGTACAGGTCGTGTTAAATTTATTTACATAACTAAACAAAATGATTATAGAATTAAACCATTAGGAATTGAATGCTCATATGAAACATTTTCCACCTTAAATGCACACGTGTTTTTCAGATGGGAATTTAGTCGAACTTTTTTCACGATGGAATTTTGTTTTGAGTCGTTTCGACATAAACAGTCGCTATCAAGACATTACACGAAATACCCCAGTCACCGTTCTAGCTCTCGTTGTAAGGTCAAAGCTAGTAAATGTGTAACCGACCTGTTACATAACGTCAACCCGTTGTATCGTCGAGCATGCTTGCGGCTTATTGCCGAAAATGCGACAAAGTATGAACTACGACTCACAGTTGTTTGTACCAAAAATAACAAACGCTTTAACTCTATTGGGATACGTGAAGCTAAGCTGCTCTAGCTCTTTCAGTGATGTTGTATATACCTCAAAGCTTAAAGGAAACAAGAGCTAAGAAAAAGGATTCGCAATGGTTCCTCCTAAGATACTCTGGACTTGAACGTCGCTTCAACGACCTTCTGAAGTCTTCGTGAAGTCGGCCATTGCTTCGCATGTAATGGAGAACCCGCGTAGAACACAGACCAATTATTTTTATCAGGGAGGGGAGTCTTTTGGTATTAAAGAAATAATTATTTGTTATTTCATTTTTAAGATAAAATTATATTTCTATAACGATAAATATTTGATTGACATTTAATAAGAGCTGTTTTATAAAGATTTTAATTTCTCTTTGCGTTTTAGCTTTGATTTTTTTTCG